CTCTCTCTCTCTCTCTCTCTCTCTCTCTCTCTCTCTCTCTCTCTCTCTCTCGCTCTCTCTAGCTCTCTCTAGCTCTCTCTCTCTCCCCTCTTTTTAGCTTTCTACTGAAATAATCATTGTATTTCAGCTTTGAATGTAAAGAAAACTTCGGTCTTAGGTGTTTGGGATAGTATCATTAGTTGATAACCAATGGTATTATATTATTATAGTGGGATGGTATCCCGCCACCTTGACTATAATGAATAGTTCATCTTGAGAAACTCCACAACACATAACATTATTCCAAACACAGACGCGGGACTCTCGTGGCCTAGAAGTTAAGGTGTTCGCCTCTCATTCAATAGGTCCCGGGTTCGAATCCGGACAGCGATGGAAAATTTTCTTCTCTAAAATGTTCTCCTTTCACATCCTTTCCTGCTCTCTAACAACTTCAAATACTGAATGGCAGAACAAAATTAGACGGGGAAGGGAACATCACCTGCATTGCAAACAAAGGCAAGTCAGTCGTAGATTACATCATTGCAAACAAAGGCAAGTCAGTCGTAGATTACATCAGTGTAAGCACAGACAAGTCAGTCGTAGATTACATCATTGTAAGCACGGGTGGGTTTCAGGAAGTAATTAAAGCCTTTAAAATAATCTCTTGATCAGAGTCTGACCATTTCCCTCTTAGTCTAACGCTTAACTTACAGCACGTGGCATCGAATGTGAACCAATAGAACAAGAAGTTTTGTGTCTTTTATTTGATATCCAGAAATAATTTTGGAACAACGCATACGTCAAAGACTATATACAGGCATTAGAAGACAACCTGTTATGTGTTCAAATTGAATTTTCTGATCTTATCCATGTAGGTAAAACAAACAATGCTGTTGTGATGTTGAATAATTGTATTAAAAGTGCAACCGATTGTATGCAATCTACAGGTGTCAAAAATGTTTAACAGTGTACATCCCAACCACCATGGTTTGATAATGAGTGCTTTTATTCAAAAAGACAAAAATACAGAGCATTACATGAATTTCATATTTCGAAATCAAATGAAGCTTTAGATAACTACCTCGCTTTGTTAAAAAAAAATTAAACCTCTGCAAATTAAAAAAATCACAGTGTACACAATTACAAACTCAAATTCTTATTCAGAATTGTTTGAAGCGCAATTCGAAAGATTTTTGGAAACAAGTCAATATCTTTTAGAGTGAAAACCCGGTAACAAACAATACTATCAAACCCAGAGAATTGTATGTCTATTTTGAGAAATTGCTAAACCCCCTCTTGGGGTCTGGTGGTAAGACCAATGGAAATGACGAGTCAATCAGCTTGAACTCATCTATTTCCTTACACTACAGTCTCATGCCTCCCCTTGTGGTGAGCCAGGTGATTTGTTATATTCACCCATTTCAAGAGACGAAATTACATTGATTATAAATAGTTTAAAATCTGGCAAGGCTTGTGGACCTGACGGCCTATCGCCGGAATTTGACAAATTCGTTGCTAGGGCCGGGCTGAATTTTTCCTATCTCTTCTCAATTCAGTTTTCTTCAAAGAGTGGACCAAATCTATGATATTTAGTTTGCACAAAAAAAGAAACGTAAATAATGTAAATAACTGCACAGGAATTAGTTAACTAAATGTTCTTGGTAAATTATTCTCATTCATATTGAATAGGAGACTGCATCAATGATGTGATGAAGGTAACCTCATCCCTGAATCTCAGGCCGGTTTTAGACGAAATTACTGTACAATAGATAATATATTTTCACTCCAATCTTTAGTCCAAAAATATATCTCCAAAACTGGCGGAAGGTTCTATATATGTTTTGTCGACTTTTGAAAAGCATTTGATTGTGTTGACAGAGAAAATCTTTAGACAGTATTGAGAAGTCTTGGCTGTTCTGGACCCTTGTATACTACTTTGAAAAATATGTATCAAAGTGTTCTTTCATGTGTTAAAGTCTGTTCAGATGAACAAGGACCTGTGAAATCGTATATTACTGAATACTTCCAATGTACATCAGGTGTCAAACAAGGCTGCATACTTAACCGAATATTATTTTCTTTGTTTACATCTCAATTTGAAAAGCACCTTTCAGATTCAAATACCCATGCTATACAGGTATTGCCCAATGATAATGATTGTATTTTAGGCTTTATGTACGCTGATGATCTAAGTCTTTTTGACGACAATGTCAGAGGTTTACGAAAGAAAATCAATGTGTTGTGTGATTTCTGCCAGATGTGAGGTTTAGAAGTGAATACAGAGAAAAGAAAGATTGTTGTTTTTAGAAATGGAGGCTATCTCAAAAGATCTGAGAGATGGTATTGGGAGGATAAGATCTTAGAGACAGTAACCTTTAATAGTTACTTGGGCATTTCATTTTCATTGCGTCTATGCTGGAGACGAACGCTGGAAGATCGAGCTTGTAAAGCTCAACGGATTGTTTCTCGAACAAGAAGGCTTTTCGGTTCATACCAAGAATTTAATTTTGAAACAGCAAAAAAACGTTTTTGATATAAAGATTTTAAAAAAGCTGCTTTATGGCTCTGAAATCTGGGGTGCCAAAAATTGGGACGTGATTGATAATATTCAGGTAAAGTTCTGGAAAGCCTGTTTGGGTTTTGGCAAAACTAGACTCAAATGTTTAGTTCTAAGAGAAGTGGGAAGACCCAACTTATGTTCTGATTACATACATTGTGTCCTTTAATTCTGGTGCAGACTTATACACTTAGAAAATGACAGATATCCAAAGAAATGTTATAAGCAATTATATCGTTCCTGTGAACTGGGCAGAGTCAACTGAGCTACGGAAGTTAAAAACCTATTATTTTCCCTGGGTTTTGGATATGCCGGGTTTTCTCAAAATGTTTGAAGCACTAGACTCTTTCTCAGTGAAGTAAAAAGTAGACTTGTTGATCATTCTATGCAGAACATAGAGGAAGAAGTCTGTCGCAAGTATAATGTTTTCTCTCTTACAATTCCGTTTCAAGAACCAGCTGAATATATCACCAACCTCCCACGGTATTGGAGCAGAAGAGTCATAGCTTTGTTAAAAACCCATAGCCTTTCATTAAATAACAATCTCTATCGGTGGAAATTAACTAATTCGCCCTTATGTGAGAGGTGTAACTCTCATGAAATTGAAGATGAATTTCACTTTATTTTCTATTGTTCACACTTTGTCCATCAAAGGAAATTATTAATCCCTCCCAGCCTGACTCGGCCCAGTGACAGAAATATGCAATGTTTTATCCATGATAAGAGATATGAGCACAACCTGTACTTATTCATTATGGAAACTTTACTTATCAAATGCATGTTTTATTTGATGTGATGTGGGCCAATAGCCTTAAATACTGAATAAACTACCTACTTACTGTCGGCTTCTTTCGTCTCCACTTTCTGCCCCCACCCCCTCGCCTCCTTTGCCTCTTCCTCTGGGCTCCTGACTCTTTCTGCAGCCTTTCTACTGCTTCTGCTTGACTCCTTCTTACTGCCGTCTTTCAGCCACACCCCTGATGTTATGGTAGGTAAGATCTACACCTAGCTTTCTTGGACAAAGGCAAAAAATCTCGGGGGTCCCGTGTGCAAGTTGCGTACGTTAAAGATCCCTGGTGGTCCAAAATTGTTAAGAGTAGGCTTAGGCCGCCACCGGACAAAACTCATAATGTCCTACCGACTGAAAATGTTTGGTGCGTCCCGCGCGTTCATATGACCTTATTAATATGCAGTTGCGAGCGCCGTAAAACACTTTTTTTAAAAACAACAACTAAACAACAACAACAAAATCCATAGATGCGACATATTGCCAATGATAGATGCCAAACATCCAGCTTTGACAAATTGGCAGGAGAACGAAAATTGACGTGCCTTGCTTTGTTACTATTTTAACTTTTGTCTGTTTCAATTCGTATTTTGTTTTTAAAAAAAGGTTTAGCTGTCCACTGCTCTATAAATATTTATCCAGTTCGAACCGCAATTTTAAAGTGTAATAAAAGCCGGAATGGTTGAGTTTGTCACCACTGAGTGGGTGGTTGGCAGGTGCTCTGGTGTGGTTTGCCTTTTCTCTCTTATCAAACATCTATCGTCCCTATCTCCCCTTCTTTTTTATGTTTGTTACTCTCTTATAACACCTCTAATCTTCTGGCGGTCATATGACCTTATGTAGTTGCGAGCGCCGTAAAACCTCTACTAAAACTAAAACTGTCACCACTGAACTATTTCATTTTCTACTCTACACTCTTCCCACACTACACAATACCAAGCTATAAGCTCACTCATATACCAGGTTACGGTTAACTAGAAATAGTATTGTATGACATTGTGGTGAAATCGGGCGTTCGTCAAAATAATGCAACACAAAGAATCCAACATTTTCCCACTCGTTAGGCAATTTTATCTTTTTCTAAATATTATTTTTGGCTCAACACCTTCTAAGCTCATTAAAAACATTTCTGCGTGGATTTTACTGGAAAAACGTTGATCAAAGGCACACAAAAATAAAGTGTAATTGCAATGTCAAATAAATCTCAAGCTTTGGAAGTCACCAAAACTGTGGCAGTTATTCGCAGTTATTTTCATTATTTTTTCTCTGACACCAGGCGAGTTACACCCCCTTCAATCAAAATAAAAACTACATCTATTTAAGACATAATGGGTTTTTTTTTTCCTTTAAAAGCTTGGAAAAGAACAGGCCTCAAGTAATCACGTAAGTAAGTACACCTCTAATCTCCGGTTATATATAAAAATGACCTCTTTGTGTCGCAAGTACCGTGAATGTCTTTCTAAAAATTAACACTAAACTGTGTCCTACAGCGGTGGAGCAACGAGCTCGCTGCCTTGGCGGCCCAGAACCTCACCTGTCAGAGCAGACATGAGGGCCAGGTGGAGACGTTACGGTCCAACGTGCAGTACGGAGTCAACGTGGGACGCCGGAGACAGATGCCCAACGCTCTCAGACAGATCGTGCGGCGCTGGTACCGGCAGAGCCAGCTCTTCCTGCCAGAGGAAGACGCCTGTCTACCTTGGAACGGTTGCAACGAGTACCGAAATGTGAGTGATTTAGTTGTTGTTGTGGTTTTTTAAATAGTTTTACGGCACTTACAACACAAGTGGGCCATATAATATGTGCCGAGTTAAATTGTCGCTTGTAAGGACAAGCGGGCTAACCTAGATTTCGGGGGTTGTCCAGAAATCTTGACCTACACCAAAAGTGGGCATTACCCTACCTATATGAGAAGTTTGGTTTCATTGGTATACATATTTGTTTGGTTATGGAGGAAACTCTCCTAGTCTTTAAAAGAAACTTAACAAGTGGCAAAAACTTTACCTTCGCTTTTCTCAAAACAGCATTTTTCGGGATAGCCCCCTTGTGCTTAAAAGTGACCAAATGTGAGTGGTTATTTTGGTGTTAGTGTGATGGAAAGACCGGCGTTTGTGGTGTAGCCGTTAGTTTGGCTCAGAAGGCGCAAACTTTAAACGAGTGCAATACCACATATGTGCGCAGTCGAAAAGAGCAAAATGACTAGATGATTTTGAACATTTATGAGATGCTTTTGAACATTTATGAGATATTCTTAAACATATTTATGAATAGCGTTGGTATGGACACTGTGTGTAGGTTGGGATAAATCCTAAGGATGAAATTGGCATCGATATTTCTTACGGTCAGAAATTCGCAGTTATGAGCCACCCCCAACACCCTACAAGCAGAAATTGAACCTGCCTTTAGTATTATCCCCAGTAATTCTTAATTTCGACTCTGGGGTTTCTTTTACTCGGGTTATAAAGTGATGGTAACATTGGCTCTGACGAGGGAAAAAATCCAGGATTAGGTTCGTGAGAAAAATCAACAACCCAGAAGCTATAAATTGGATTTTTTTAAAAAAGAAAAGCTAAAGGAAGACACGGACTCAACGCACTCCGAACAGACTGATGGCTTGTCAATGAAAGGGGGGAGGGGGACACCTGATTTTACCCGAAATGAAAATTTTACCATCGATAGGATTTGTTTTCCGTTTTCATTGACATCCCCCTCCCCCCCCCCCCCTTTTTGTTATTTGCCCCTGGCAATTCCTGTACTTGAAAATAACGAAAAGTATAGTAGAGCCAATAAAAAGGCAGTGATAAGTTCTGTTCTGTTCTTGTTCCAGATGGTGAATGCAAAACATCGAGAAATTGGCTGTGCAACGGTAGAGCCCTGTGGGGGCAGAAACCAGCTGATTGTTCTTTTGTGCCTCTATGACGGAGGGTAAGGCGTACTTCTTTCTGGTAACATGCACGAAACTAAAAGATTCACTTGTTGTTACGCACGACAAATGCTATTGCGTTTGCAAGGATCAATGCTTTTCTAAGGGTCTGTACTAGAAACTGTACTAGAAATATATTAATTTGCAGTCTTGCAATATTTTTGAAGAGTGGGTGTGTAGCGAGTGTGCATGTGTGTGTGTGAATCCTGGATTAGACGAGCTTTTAGTTCCAGGCGGCTATACGTTACGTAGGCGTTGGTCCTTTGGGGATTTCCAGGTAGGCTGCTCTGATTCCCAAATTCAACTAGTGCTTCAGTATTAAGGTCTTTAGTATGGGCATTTGAGATTGTGCGGTGCCCAGCAGTTTACTCTACCAGATTTTCAAAGTAAAAATGCAGGCCCCAACATGAGATGCAAATAAGGTAAAGTGCAGAACCTTTCCAAGGCGAATACCAATGTCGAGGAGAAAGATGGTCAACTGAAACAAATGGTCAACTTAAGCAAGTGGTCAATTTAAACAAGTGGACCTCTCGGACAGTGTCATTACATATAAATACGCAACGGGGTGGTGGGGAGTGATCTTTTGTATAGTTGTTTGTCTTGGACAAGTGGTCATTAGCATGTTGTTGTCATTTGATTGGTTGTTCTCATCAAACGTACCAAATATTGACCTAGAAACGCCAGCGTGTATAATTTTGATAGGTCTGATCAATATGTACCTGAATGGTAGGTCTTGTTTTGTTCTTGGAGGACAAAAACTTGCTGCCCTAAAATGTATCAATGTATCAAAATTAATGAAGATTTGACGAAACTGTCTATAAACTACTTTAGTTTTAGAAGAGGTTTTACGGCGCAACCAACTGCATAAGGTCATATGAGCTCCAAGGGGAGGATGTCAACAGAGAGGTCCTGTCAGGGAATCAGACTTACTCTGCTCACCTCTCTGGCTTCAACAGCACAAAGTCTGTTTCGACTATCAAGTCGGCCCAGAAATAGCGGGCCACAAGAGTGTGACAAACATACACCCCCCCCCCCTAAAAAAAAAGAGAGAAAAAATGACGATAGTAAGGATTAGCAAAGAAAAGGCAGCAGCTCCCTGTTGCAGTTCATGCAGTTATGAGCCTAGCATTGATGAATCAGCCCATTTACAATTTACAATTCTTCTGTGCATAAGAACATATTAATGTCCCATCTGTGGGAATGGCCTAAAGACACTTCAGTCAGTAGCACCGCCCCCGGGGGAGGGGGTATGTAAACTGCAGTGGGTATTATTGACAGCTTGCCACTGACGTAAACAGTTTCTCTACATTATGCTCCTCTTTTATCCTGAGGGTAAAAGAGTATAGCTTGGCTTATCTTGTCGAAGCTGGGCCTTATATGGCGCAGCTAGAATTTCTGGAATTCAAAATTCTGACAGTTGAATCAAACTCCTTTTTTACCCCCTCCAATTTTGGAAGTTGACACGACACGTAAGACAGATGCTTCTAAAACTATCCCAGTGTTGTTCACATCTGAGCTATTTACCGGATTATCCTCAGCCTTGCCATTTTTTTATCAGCTGGTTTGTTTTTTTTGGGTTTTGTTTTGCCAGTTTCCCAGTTCTGTTCTGTTGTATATGAAAAATGAATACTTCCTTTTTTTCCTCTCCCCCAGACCGACTGATCATTTTAATTTCAAGCACGGTCTTCCATGTACTGCTTGTTCTCACCCGATGTCTTTTTGTAATTCCAATTTATGTGGTGAGTACACAGGCGTACTATTTTGGTTCTTGTAACAGCTTTTAGATTGAGCAAAACTGGCATTTTTTTAAAATTCGCCTTTGTCAAGAGAGATCATTTTGTTGCTGAAAAGAAAGAAGGTTAGAGGTATCTTTTTTCTGCCTTTAATTCCCCAAGGGGAATAGGTCATCAATAAATTCCCTCCACTTAGACACCGTTGGAGTGGTTAACCCCCCCTCCCTCCCCCCTATCTCTCTCTCTCTCTCT